CCTATTGCCCTAATAGCTGCTGGAAGATGAAGACCGGAGAAACAGGCATACACAGGTCAGTTGTGGAACTAGGTTTGGACATACTGTACTGTTCTTTGCCGTTGGAACAGTGCATTGTACTCGCAAGTGGAACTCTATCGCTACCTAATGGCTAAAGCAGCCAATTGCAGATACAGCTGAAAGAGAAGAAATTTCCCTACACCACATTGTGGAGGGGACTTCCTTTCCTGTAAACAAACAGCACAGACTTCGTCATAACTGAATGAGGCCTAGCACTGTATTCTAAACATTCTAATGTGCAGACTTTTGAATTGTCTAGCTCACAGACCAGATGCAGCCCATAGCCTCCCCCCAGCCTGTAACAACTTTTCTTACGGGGGTGGGGGGGGTGAGTTCCAATTTGTGGAAATGGCATATTTCCCTACAAGCCTAATTTCTACATGGGGTAGTAGTGGTGATGGGAGGCAGCTGGGAAAATAATGTTAACCCTACCCCTCTTTGTGCTGTGACCCCTCCCCCCGACCTACCACCTGTCTAGTGTGAAAATTAGGCTTGGATGGAAAAGGTCTCATTCATGCAGTTGGCATCGCCCCAATTCTCACTCCCCAGAATTGCTCTCTAGGCAGTATTTTGGCTTAGAAAAAAAAGACTTCACCCATAGGAGGAAAACTCTAACCCTAATTGTCCCATGGGGTGAGAAAGGAAGAGAAATGAAAAATTGTGCAACTATCCCCATTCAGGTGTGGGGAGTCTTTGGCTCTCCAGCTGTTGATAAACTGCAAGACCCATCAGCCTCAGTAAGCAAGGTAAATGGCCAGGGAAGATTAGAATTGTTTTTCGGCAACTTCTGGAGGGCCAAAGGCTTCCCCCCCCCAAAGGGAATATGATCCTTGGAAGGAGGGAAAAGGTCCCCTACCCCTGCATGCTGCAAAGAGAATCACACATTGTGGAAGGCACTGTGGAGGCCATGCAGTCCACACAAGTGCAGGATCTGCATGAAAGAATCCCTGAGAGATGGATGTCCAGCCTCTGCTTAAATACTTCTTGTGAATGGGAGCCCACTGCCCTGAGACTGGGTCTGCTCCACTGTAAAAACAGCCTGTGTTGCCTTATTATTTGTTAAGAAGTTTCTGCCAAAGTTTCCAACAGATTATTTACTTCACCCCATTAGTCCTAGTCCTGTCTGCTGGAGCAAATAGAGCAAGTCTGGTTCATCTTCTGCTTAACAGCCCTTCCAATATTTGAGAGCCACTACTGTCTCTCCTCTTTTATTTTTCTCCAGCTACCCAAGTCTTCCAATTGTACCTTAGAGGTCTTGGCTTCCTTACCATCTCAATTGCCTTTCTCTGGACATTTGACAAATCACCTCAACCAGATTGCACCCACCCAAGAGTTCTATAACAAAATTATGTAACTTATCACTAAGATCAGGCACTATACATGAGGACTCTAAAGTGCCCAATGCAACACCATTTTTAAAAAGGGGGATCCAGGAAATTACAGGCCACTTATGTTAACATCTGTACCTGGAAAACTATTGTCAAATATGGAGTTACCAAACGTAGAACAGGTAGCAAATATTCTTCCTGCTGGTAGGCCAAATCTGGCAGCTGTGGGAAAGGGTCAGGTAAATTTCCCCTAAAAACCCACCTCTCTGTTCCTGCAAGAACAATAGTCTTTTCTTGTCTGACTTTAGATTGAACCTCTTCATGTTTCAGTGTCATATCCAACCATGTACTTTCCAGTTGACTCCTTGTTTTGTTGTACAATATTTTGATTACCTCATAAAGTTCAAAGGGGGGTCGGGACTGAGCAGGTTTTGCAAAGAAAACTGAAAACAGCATAAAAGCATCACCACTCAGCAGAGAGCTCTCTATGCAGCCACACTGGCTTATTTAGATGCCTTCTGTTTTCCCTTCCCATCGAAGGAATGGTTTGTGGTTCAGTATTTTACTTTTCAGAATCTCACATCCTTAGCACATTTCTCCTTCAGAATTTTTAGTCATGGGATCCAGTCCAACTTTTCTCAAAACTCTTTGAAATCAGCTTTCCTAAAGTCTAGGTTACACAACCCCCAATCTCTTGCCATCACAGATTCCAAGGTGCTCCTTTTAAGAACAAAAGCATTCCAATCTAGGGTGTTATAAGGTCTGGGTTTATATTTGGCTCTGGGAAAGCCAGGTTCAAATCCCTATTCTGCACAGGTGATCAACTGCTAGCCTGGATGGAGTCACCAGTTCCCACTCTAATTTGCCTGATAGAGTACTTGTGCAGCCAAAATGCACTTCTGAGCTCTTTGGAGGGAGAGCAAGATGCAGATTCTGGTTACAAAGAAGTTACTCAGGAAGCATCTTCCTTGGTACTAAGATCCAAGGTCAGCCCCAGATATTTTCTGCCCAAAGTGAAGCACAAGTTGGACACCCACACCCTACTCAATTCAACACAGAGAAACCAGCTAGACAACAGGAAAGCATTCTCCATTGCATGTGAGTGCAACAGCCAATATTCGGGGGCATAGGACAAGCCACACATGGCACACAGAACTCTGTCCGCCAACATTTTTCCACAACTCCTTGCCTCCCCATTTCTGCCTTACTGCCTAAGGGTAGAGCCATCCCTAGGTACTCCCTGCTGAAGAACACCTGACATAGCTTGACAGCGTATATTTGCCACCTGCAGAACATGGCCCTTTGGGGTGAAATAAAGGGGTTTGAGGGTGCCACAGGCCCATAGCCTATAGTTATTAAAGGTATAACATAGGCAGGAAAACAGCTTCATGTGTTCCAGCCATTGTGTCCCAAGCACACCAGCCCCAATGAGGACAAGTGATTGGAAGTTTTGTTTTCCATTGACAAAGCACTCAATTACATCAGTTCTTAAGGCACAAGGGATATACGCAGTGCTTCCCCCCCCCCCCCTAGAAAAATAGGTGCCTGTACTTACCATGAAGCTGATACAGTAAGTGTCACACTTTTTAACAACAACAAAAAGATGTGACGGTACTGCGTACCATTGAGTACCCCCTGGGGGGGGAGCACTACTACTCCTGCTAGGCACCTACTTATTCAGACATGTGCTCCAACCCAGATAGTTGGAGCAACAGCGCATTCACACCCCTTTCAAGTCACTTAAACCTCATCTGATGTGGTGTGCATAAGCAACCGGCAAGGGCACAGCTCCATCTTTTTCTGTCGCTATCAGCAACTCATTGTCCTTGGAGACAGCAGGGAAAGGGCACTTTCTTCTACCTCTGCACCCCAGGCCTCCTCTCCTTCCATCTCTGACCACCTGGACTCTTCCTCCACACCCGGCTCCTACCTCATGGGTGGCACAGAACCCTGTCTTCCCCTGGATCCTCCCCCTGCCCACCCCTCAGACTCGCCTGCACGATGACATTTATGGACAGTCTTGTGTCACTAGAGCAAACTGTCCATCTTCTGAGAGAGCAGGCCCACAGGACCGAGAGTGCCTTCACGTTACGAGTCTGTCAAATACTAGAATGTTAAAAAATGTAAACAATATTGACGCTAATGCATATTTCACAAGCGTATCCTATTGCAAGCAAGTTCAACAAAATTCCTGCTGATCTCCAGCTGTTAAGGAGTTGAGACTACACAAGCTGCAGAGAAAAGGAAAGTCAAGTTTGCAGAACACATTAAATAAACAAGCAGATGGTTCTGCATGAATGGTCTGACATTTCAGACACAGCGGTAGCTGTTGTGAATTAGTAGATAATCTTGTCTCTTACCCCACAAGGAGCCTAACTTTCTGCTTTTAATGTAAATAAAGGCTTTATTCGGGGCTAGCTGCTCCTGGGATAGCTCATGAAATAGTAAGGCAGGAGGAAAGCATCTAATCGCCAACATTCCCTTCTCTTTTCTGGTACCACTTAAAAAAGAAACTTACCATACTCCTCCTCGAAGCAGTTCAGGGTAGTGTGTAGTTGTTTTCCTTTCCCTCCTCATCTTATCCTCAAAACCCTCGTGAGGGAGGCTAGGCTGAGAAATGGTGACTAGCTGTGAAGACTTGAACCTGGGTTTCCTCAGCTTTTGTTTGATACTCTTTCCCACCACAACATACTTTCGTACATTTTAAACATGCTTCTTAGGAAGCTGCAAAAGTAAAAAGGGGGCTGGGGGAGAGATGCACCATCTCTGCCCTTTGACACCACAAAGCTTCTGGCCCCTGGCAGGGCAGTTCACATCACATCAGAGTTGTGATGGGACAGGTCCACACCATACATTTAAAACACAACCAACACACATTTCACACGTGTCTTCCCCCAAAGGATGCTGGGAACTGTCACCTCCCATTCACAGACCTACAAACTACAGTTCCCAGCATTCCTTAACACATATAGTGTGGCTCTGCCCAGGATTTGAGGCTGTGCTTCTATCTCCCGGCTCAGTTCTGTTAGCAGGGCTTCATCAGTGTAGTCATAGATTTAGTACAGGACCCTTCAGTTCCTCTGCATACGTCTAGGCAGGAATAAAACTCTCTGGCTACCTTCCTTGCATTAAAATTCTGGGTCCTCGACAGAAGCAATGTTAAGCTTAGGGTTTCAAAAGAGTGCAGTGTAGTAGGGCCCATGGTGTTCATTCTCTTAAGTTGTAAGACACCTGTACAGTGGTACCTCGGGTTTCATAAGCTTCAGGTTACAGACTCTGCTGACCCAGAAATAGTACCTCGGGTTAAGAACTTTGTTTCAGCATGAGAACAGAAATCGCACGGCGGCAGCGGGAGGCCCCATTAGCTGAAGTACCTCAGGTTAAGAACAGTTTCAGGTTAAGAACAGACCACCAGAATGAATTAAGTACTTATCCCAAGGTACCACTGTACTGTTTAGTCAGGAGAAGAGGACACTGAGAAGCAATAGGCAACCATCTCACAATGGCCCAAGTTACTCTGAGACACCTGAACAGGAAATCCCACTTCTCAAGCCCTTTCAAGTCTGCCTACCTTTCTTGGTAGAAGCCTGCACAGTGGAAACTAACTTGTGGGACAGCTCAGCCAGCAGAGCATGAGATTCTTCATCTCAGGATTGTGGGTTCAAGCCACACCTTAGGCAAAAAATTCCCTGCATTGGACTAGAGGACCTTCATGGTCCCTCTCAACTCCACAACAATTCTATGATTCTGTGGCAGTAAAAATAACTCCCACAGTACATATTCTGCATGGGAAAAATGGAGGAGCATGCAGCTCAGTTGGTAGCAAATGATATCCATCCAGAAGTGCCCATATTCAAGCTGTAGCATTTTCAATTATGTATTTTATATAATTACTCTGATAATCCTGCCTTTCTTCTGTGATGGAATTTAAGACGGCATTCATGGGCTTCCCGGGCAAATTTTACAAGCCTCAGAGTACAGGCACCCTGAATCTGGAATGCCCTCCTATCAATAATAATAATAATAATAATAATAATAATAATAATAATAAATTTTATTTGTATCCCGCCCTCCCCAGCCAAAGCCGAGCTCAGAGCAGCCAACAGCAAGTAAAAATAGCACAGTGTACATAAAATCAAAGTCAATTAATTAAAACATGTTCTAAAATCAATCTGATGCCAACTCCTCTACGTCTTCAGTTTCAAATAAAAACTTACTTTATTTACCCAGGCCTTTGACAGGTTTATGGTCTCTAATTGTACTGCTTATTTATCTTGTTTTTATTTTATAACTTTCGGGATTTGCTCTTATTTTAAATGCCTTTTATTGTTTGTTATGCATATTACAGTGGTGCCTCGCAAGACGAAATTAATCCGTTCCGCGAGTGTCTTCGTCTAGCGGTTTTTTCGTCTTGCGAAGCAACCCTATTAGCGGCTTAGCGGATTAGCGCTATTAGCGGTTTAGCGGCTATTAAAGGCTTATCGGCTTAGCGGATTACCTGCTAAAAGGCCATTAAAGGCTTAGCGGCTTAGATAAAGGGGGGGGGAAGCGAAAAAAAACCCTCAAGACTCGCAAGACATTTTCGTCTTGCGAAGCAAGCCCATAGGGAAATTCGTCCTGCGAAGCAACTCAAAAACGGAAAACCCTTTCGTCTAGCGGGTTTTCCATCTTGCGAGGCATTCGTCTTGCAGGGCACCACTGTACTGGCAACTGTAACCCTCTCTAGGCTCATGTATGAAGAGTGGGGTAGTAAATACAATGGTCCAACTACTGCAGCATCCTTCCTCCCACTGTGGCTTGCCCAATTTCCCCTGGAAGTTCAAAGCAGGACTTAAACGCAACAGCAGCTGGCACTCAAAGGCATGTTTGCCTCCAAGGAAGGTCTTATAAAGCCATCGTGACTAAAAGCCACTGAGACTTGTAGGTCCCCCTCCTGGAACTGACCACACCCAACCCTGCTTAGTTTCAGAAGTTTGCTGCATCATGTAGGGGCTTTAGATCACACCCCAGACTCAGTTCAAAGGAGCAGGTACCAGGGCTTCTAAAGACCTTAAGAGAGCCACCAGCAGCCCAAGAGGCTCCGCCTTGGCTAGATGGACCAAGGAACCTTCTCAAGAAAGCAACTACTTTAACTCTGCTTCCCTTGAACTTTTCACATTTAGTGGACCTGCTCTGGCTTAAGCTATGTCACTGGGGTTTTATTTTAGCCTTCATAACTACGAATGCCATGAATAGAAAGAGAACCTACCCAGGTGACCCCGACACAAAAACATCACATACACAGTAGGGAAGCCTAGGGGAGTTTTTAATGTTTGATGTTGTGTTGTATTTTTAATTTTTTTTTGGAAGCTGCCCAGAGTGGCTGGGGAAACCCAGCCAGATGGGTGGGGTATAAATAATAAATTTATTATTATGATTATATTATTATTATTATTATGAGGCAAACAAATGAAAGTTTACTACCCTCCCCCCTCTTCCCTGCCTGCTCTCCCCACCTCTCTTCTTCCCCCAACCTTATACTGTATACAACAGTAAAGTCTCACATTGAATAAACCTGATATGTAGAAAGGCCTTTATGATCTGAAAATAGAGACGATGTTTGTATTTTTCTAATCCCAGAAAATCTTTAATAAAAACAATTTTTAAAAAACCCACAAATGCCAAAGATAACAAATTTCCATGTGAAAAAAAATTAAGGGATGCAACCAAAAGTAGAAATAACATTGATTATTTTTACTGTCTTGCTTGGCTTTAAGGAAAACCCACTTTTCTTAACCCCTTCCCAAACAAACAGACAGACAGACAGACAGACAGATAGATAGATAGCTGCAACATGCATGTTATAGAGGAAGGACTGTAACAGCGGCTATAAATCATAAACGGCAAAAGTGCAGCTACTACCCTTTTAGAGCAGCATGCTTCTGAGTTCCTGTTGATGATAATAAACATTATTTGCACCCCACCCATCTGACTGGGTTTCCCCAGCCACTCTGGGCAGCTTCCAACAAATATAAAAGCATACTAAAACATCAAACATTAAAAACTTCCCTATGCAGGGCTGCCTTCAGATCTCTTCTAAATTATAAGTGCTCACCACCATGCCGTGTGTGTGTGTGTGTGTGTGTGTGTGTGTGTGTGTGTGTGTGAGAGAGAGAGAGAGAGAGAGAGAGAGAGAGAGAGAGAGAGAGAGGGTGGGGGGTGCTGAATTGCTAGCATCACCACAGCTTATTGTGCTGTTAGGGCAGTTTCAATACAAGTTCTGCTCCTGGGGGCTGATGGATCACTTCCAGTATCCATCAATACAATCTTATAAGTATCTACTCAGAAGTAAGTCCTCCAAGCTCAGGGTAGCTTATTTTTGGGTAGGTGTACAGAGGACTGCAGCCCAAGAGGACTGCTGTTGATGTTCCTGCTCTATCTTTCAACCATTTCTCCAATCAATTTATACACAGCTTAATATACAAAATCTCGCAAGTGGCTGATGAAGCAAAAACTTTAGAGTGGAGTGGCTCTAAGGGTTAACTATACATGATTTTCACATACACATGTAACCCTTGGAACTGAACCCCTGTGTAAGGTAAGAGCTTACTGTATTCAAACACACACACACACCCCTCTCAGAGAGTGCAGATATTTATCTTTGTACAGTGGTACCTCTGGTTACGTACTTAATTCGTTCCGGAGGTCCGTTCTTCACCTGAAACTGTTCTTAACCTGAAGCACCACTTTAGCTAATGGGGCCTCCCACTGCCGCCGCCGTGCGATTTCTGTTCTCATCCTGAAGCAAAGTTCTTAACCCAAGGTACTATTTCTGGGTTAGCGGAGTGTGTAACCTGAAGCGCATGTAACCCGAGGTACCACTGTATATGCACTGGTATACTAAAGGCATGGAAACATTAGGGGAGAAGGTAAGATAACTATATCAGTCTATCTAATTTAAATATAGCCTTTCTGCCAAGGCATTTGTAATTCACTGGGCAGTGTTTACACACTCATACAAAGATGGAAAAGTTGACACCAACTTTTTAATATAAAAGGGTAAAGGGACCCCTGACCATTAGGCCCAGTTGTGACCGACTCTGGGGTTGCGGCACTCATCTCGCTTTATTGGCCGAGGGAGCGAACCAGAGCAGCACACGGAAAAGCCGTTTACCTTCCCACCGGAGTGGTACCTATTTATCTACTTGCACTTAACATGCTTTTGAACTGCTAGGTTGGCAGGAGCAGGGACCCAGCAATGGGAGCTCACCTCATTGCAGGGATTCGAACTGCTGGCCTTCTGATCGGCAAGTCCTAGGCTCTGTGGTTTAACCCACAGCGCCACCTGCGTTCCAACTTTTTAATATAGAGTAAATATGGTGAATTGGTTGTACTGCCAGTACAATCCTTAGTTGGAATCTCTGTACTACGTTGCAAAGTAGCCATAGACTGCTCCTTTTTCTTCTCTGGTGCAGTGATGACCTAGCCTTTACAAAAACACAAAGATTGTAACAGAGCAATCCTAGGCTTATCTGTTCAGAGGCAATTCCCACTGAGTTCAATGGAGCTTTGTGTGCATAGGATTGCAGCCAAAGGAATTTATTCTTGCCCCACTAAGACCCGTAGGGTGAGTCATCTTTGGAATCATTAGTTCAACTTATTGCTCCTAATCTCTTGCCAGGTGACTTTTTACTCTTCTGCTGTGGAGTCTTAAAAGGAAGATTATTTTTCCTCTAAATTATATCTCCCCCAAATTAATTTTTAATCTGCAGTAAGTTGCTGCTGCTTTTCATTTGTCTTTCATTTCCCCACCTGCTTATTCCTTCTAGAACCTTCCAATAACAATCGCTAGAGCAAATGGGAATCATTCCACCCCAATATTTGTACAGCACAGTCTCCCATGCCCTTTAACTAGTGCCTCAAGACATTTCCATTTCTACATGGGTTTTCCAAATGACTGGGGTATCTGAACAGTATCCCTCTCCCTCCATTGTCTTCATCCCACCATTTTGCACTTTGCTTGCTATCCTTTTTTTAAAAAAAATTTATTTGTAGCCTGTCAGCACAGTTGGGGGTGAGTGGGGTGCAGTTCTGCATTTTTAAAATATTATACAGTGCCTTGAAAGGTTTAAAAAGAAGACGACGACATTATTAGCGGAATGGAAAAGATTACAGTCGTACCTTGGTTGCTGAACGCCTTTTGACTTGAATGTTTTGGCTCCCAAACGCCGCAACCCCGGAAGTGAGCGTTTTGGTTCACGAACATTCTTTGGAACCTGAAAGTCTGATTGGGCTTCTGCAGCTTCTGATTGCATGCAGGAAGCTCCTGCAGCCAATTGGAAGCCATGCCTTGGTTGTCGAACATTTTCAGAAGTTGAACGGACTTCCGGAACGGATTCCACTCGACAACCATGGTACGACTGTACTTATCTCCCTCAGTGGAGTTGGAACTTAAAAAAGAGATATTCCCTTTACCTTTAGATCTTCTGCTGAATAAGTAGATGAGGCAGTCAGGCTCAGCCTGTTATAATGGCTCCCCCACCTGTTATAATGAGCTGAACATGCCATACCCTGCCCAGCACACAAGGGACTAAGGATTATAACAAGATTGGTGGGGTGGGGGTGGAAAAGGGGAGAAGCAGGTTGGAAAATCCACACCTGTCTAGAGAAGTTGTTTCCTGTCATGAAGGAACAGCTATAATTAGTGCAAGTCAAACAACTGTTAGGTGGGGGGGGCAGGATTCCAATTTTGGCAACCCGAAGGCTCTTTCCAGCAGAATTCCTTTTAAGAATGTAGCCTTTTGGATGTGTGTTTTTTTAAAAAAATAAGATATCGCCAAAGCAATTATCCTTTTCTCTAATGTGGCTTGTGGGCCACTTGCCACTTCTCTCTCCCTCAGCAGATCCAACAGTCCCTTGAGGGGCTTGTGCCAGCTTAACTAAGCAGGTGTGAATAATCTCTGGCACACTTTTGGAGGAGAGATGAAGGTTCTTCCTGGTGCTTTGCAGGCGATTCCTCCAGGGTGGGACACCTGCCTGCAGTAGCTGGGGCTGCAATGAATGCAAATCTTACCTTTGTACAGAAGGTTAGTTTCCACCCCTCTATGTGGACATGTAAGATACAGGGTCAGAGTTCAAGGACACATTCCAACCAGGTAAACACTCAAGGAGGGTATGAAGCCAGGCCTCTGAGTGTGGCCTGGGAAGATTCCTGATGGCTCTGCTTAGCTCCAGGCCACAGGTTCCTCACCCTTGCTTGGGCAGTTAGCATGTCATTTAGATGGGTAACATTTCCTTCTTTGCAATTACTCAGCAGGAACAATTGAGCTGACCCTTCATCACACACACCTAGATTTCACTTTGCCACACAGCTCTGTTGCTTTTCAATTTGTGGAAAGTACTACAAGACTACTCCTGCTAGGACCCATGCAGTAAAGTTAGTTATTCTCACCCTCTGACCTTTTCATTATGCCATGCACAATTAAAGAAACACCAGTCAATACCTATACCTATACCTACAAACAGATCAGAATCACATCACCACATGCACTGGAAAGATGCATGGAGGGACAGAAACTTAAGGTTGACAGGGTGCATTAAGAGGTAATTAACACGCATTAAGCCATCTCAACCTTGGGGAAATATTCATATATCCACTTATGGATCACAGATTCCTCTCAGCTAACTGATTCTCCTAAACACCATAGGTGCTCACTCCCTGGGGCCCTAGGTGCCCGAGCACCCACAAAATTTCCCATGAAGGGGTCAGGTACCCAGATATTTTGGTGCCAGGGTCATGCACACTGCATGGCACCCACAGCCCTGGGCACCCACAGTCACAGGGCCAAGCTGGCACTCCTGCTAAACTCCATTAGACATCACCCTCAACTAGCAATAGTAAGACCCTTTTCCCTTTTGGAAGAGTCTCTGTGCGATCAAGAATATTTATTTTTTTACTGGGGGTACAAATACTTACACAACTGTGTTAGCCTTTTCTCATAACATGGCTTGCTTGCTAGAGCATTTATGCCTATTTTACAGTGCAGATATGGGTGGCCGGGAGGTGCAGGTTGAGCAGGCAACAGGATAACCACTTGACCCATTCCTACTTCACATGACCTTTTCTGTGCCAACAAGAGCTCATATGCCTGTCAGCATGGCAAAGCAGCCTCATTTACTTTCCTCCATTTGCTCAGTCTGCTGCTCCCAAGGTGGCCCACCATACATTACAAGGGTAATGGAGTAACTGCCAAAGCTGCTTCTGTATGCCAGGTGTTCCAGGCCGGGGTATAGGCAGGATTTATGTTGGGGGCAGAACAGAGCTATCTGCAATGCTATTAGTCAGTTAGTTAAGTATTTTTATTTATTTACTTGATATGCATGGTTCCAGCAGCAGCAGCTGCAAATATGTAAACAATTTCCCATGGAGGACATGCCATACTGGTGTAATGCTCCTGTAGGCTTGGGGGATGAAATGCAAAACAGAATAGGGCAGTTACCTCGGTTGGCTATAGGGTGGTGCTTATAATGCCAAGGTCACAGGTTCGATCCCCATATGGGTCACATACATCTTCCTGCATTGCAGAGGTTAGACTAGATGCCCCCTGTGGGCCCCTTCTAACTCTACGATTCCGATTCTATGATAGGGTGCACCGGGAGGTGACAAGTTCCTTTTTTAAAAAATCAGGAATTAGACTGCAGCAATTCTAACAGCAGCACAAACCGTAGCTTCTTCAAACTTCTGCCCTGGCACCCAAAAGTTGCAACAGGCCTTTGGGAATTGACTGCTTTTAATAAAAGGGCTGGCGCCATGCTGTTTTTATTGTAATTGTTGGTAAATAGATTGTGTGTGTATATAATTTTAATTGTATCAATGTTTAAATGTGTTTCAATGATCGGTTTTTCTAAGTTTTTAGCAGTTCTTGTTTTTATCTGCAAGCCGTCAGAGAAAAAGGGTATAAATAAACATTATATTATAATGGTAGGAGTACTACAGTAGCAGCTACAGTGGTGCCTCGCAAGACGAAATTAATTCGTTCCGCGAGTTTTGTCATCTTGCGATTTTTTTCGTCTTGCGAAGCACGGTGTCGGAAAAGTTTTGGAAAAGCTTCAAAAATCACCAAAGTCTTCAAAAACCTCAAAAAAGGCTACCACACCGCGTGCTATGAGTTGCTCCTCGAAGTCAAGTCGCAACTGTATTAACGGTGTTAAGAAAAAGGAAACAAACTTGCAAGACGTTTTCGTCTTGCGAAGCAAGCCCATAGGGAAAATCGTCTTGCGAAGCAGCCCAAAATCAAAAAACCCTTTCGTTTTGCGAGTTTTCCGTCTTGCGAGGCATTCGTCTTGCGAGGTACCACTGTATAGTAAAACACACAGCTGAATAAAAATATCAGTGTCCTCTGGTGGCCACAAAATGCCATTACAGGCAAAGCATAGAACATTACAATAGTACGATATGCAACATGGTAATAATAGATTACCAATAATAGAGTGCACCTTTAAGCAAAACTACATAAGGAAACCAACCATTCTTTTGCATTCCTTCCTCCTCTGAATACAAGGTTGCCAACTAGCAAGAAGGAAACAGTCCCAGCCAGGCCTTCTTCTGCATCCTTAACTAAGATTTGATATACTGTACGGAAAACAGCAGGTGAAGCTTTTAATGGCACGGAGCTGAATGCAGTCATCTCCTGAAGGCTATGCCGAACAAAATGCTTTTAAAAGACCACCCAAGGGGCTGGTTCAGAAGCTAACAGTCCAATTAAGCTCAAACAGGCTATCCTGGAAAGTTTGGAAGAACACCTGAAAGGATGGCCACATGCCATGGATGCCTTAGCTGAGATTCCTACATTGCAGGGGGCTGGACTAGATTGACCCTTGGGGTCCCTTCCAACTCCAAAATTCTATGATCAAAGGTGCCGCGTGTCACTATGCCTTTAAAACTTTTTGAACAGTATGAGGAAGTACCGATTTTGCCCCCTGAACAGAAAAAACCCCTAATGAATATTTCTCTCAAATGCACCAAAATTAAGAGAGAGAACTTTCTCTAGAAAGAAACAAAGAGGTTTGCCTCCTGCTGACAGCACAATCTTTCTGGCAAGCCTACTCTGGAGCAGAAGGCATTCAGTAGTGGGTTTAGTTATTTATTAAAGATAGGACCGTGGGAGAAACAAGGGAAAGGATTGCCACCTTCCTTTCTGACCCTGCTTCCCTACCTTCAACAGCAGATAAAGTTTCCCCCAACCCTTGCTATGCATAAAGTGTTGCTGAATATATAGAAGCAGAAAAAGTGGCAACTGTAGAGCAGACATGCCTAGTGATAACCCATTCAGCTGCTGCAGGCAAGTTACCGCAAAACAGGAAAGCAAGCCCCAGATTCACTTCCTGTTATCCCTTGATAAATACCAGAGGCTGCTAGCCTCTCACTTCTTCTAGTATGGCAGGACTGGGAGGCATCCTGTTCTGGGGTGGCACACGCTCCCTGTGGGGTGCATCATGACCTGGACATGTTATCAAGTATTCCCAAGAGTAGGTCAACACACCAAAATCCACCAAGAAAGCCAACTGGAGTTAACTAGCAAGGCACAAGCTAAGTAGTTGTGCAAAAGTAAATGCACTTTTTTCACTTGTGCTGGGAGAAAGTGGTAGAACATCAACTAGGAGGACTGAAAAAGCAAAACAGGGCTTTCAAGGAGTGGAGTGCAGGCCCTCATGAGTACTACAAGAGCATTGTTCCCAAAGGCCACAGCAAAAGGAAGGAGAAAGCAGAAGGAAAGGCTAAGGGTAGCAGAAGGGAATTTTGAGGGGAAAGGAAGTAAAAGGTAGAAGGATTAACTACAGCATGAGGCCAAAGCTGCAACCTAAATCATGCCTACTGAGAAGTTAACTACCAAATTATTGCTCTCTGGTAAGTGGGGGGGGGGGGGAATAAATTAGGATTACAGCCCAACTGATAGAAATATCATGTAATTAAGACCTTCCATCCTCCTTGTCCTCCACCCTTAGCCATCTCCCTTTTAGCAATATAAGGCAAAGCTTTCAATATATATGGGGGTGGGGCAGAAAGACATAAATGCACACTCTTTTTGTGTGTCTTGAAAGCAGCAACAAAATTCTTCAAACTTTTGTGAATGAACAATGGTCCCAAGGAGAAAAACAAAACAAAGCAACAACCCAGGCCTGTAAAAGAAAAGAAAAATGTGCTAGCATTAAACAAAAACCAAAACCCTGGAATGCAATAGTCATAGGAATCCAACAAACACCATATGAGATAAAAAGAAAGCTGAACAGCAATACTAAACCTACATTTTAAAAATAGAACAGAAAACCATTATTTGAACTCTCACCTTGCAATCAGAGTGTCCTGTTCCATCACTGCAGCAACAAAAACGTAGAACCAGGTTTTCAAGTGGCTGCCTTGTAGTGGAAGACTGAGTTAAAGGTTGCTGCTTTTGGGGTGTGTGTTTTTTTTGCTGACCCCCTTCCCTTACACCTGTGGAAAGTCCTGCATAATTGCTTGTCCTGAGATCTACTGCTTCAGCTTGGAACACTATCTGCTTGAACAGCCTCAACCTATCCAGGACCTCTTACTTACTATCAATCCCTAGTGGATGCAGGGCTCCCTAGGCCACACCCACACCACAAAAGCTCACCTGACACACATCCAGTATGTAAAAATGTATTTCCTACACCTGTTGGGGGAGATGGCTTGCTGCCAATATCCACTGCAGCAGCAGCAGCTGTTGCATATTACATGCCCAGAGCAATTCCCTTTTCCACCACTCCCAGTGTAGCAATGGAGGTAATATGAAAAGACCCATAGCAAGTTCTGCAACTGTAATGTGATTTAAATTCCTCCTGGCTTTGTTATTTGTATGCTAGGTTTACATGCCAGCAAATCAGATGCTGCTAACCTGCCCTTCCTCAAGGCTCCAGGTAGCCTGTCTGTGAACACTTAAGCCTGCCTGTCCTTAAAAATGAATAAATAATGTAAAACAGCACATCTCCCTTCCTTTTAAAAAATAAAAATAAAAGAAACATATAGCAAAAATGCACTGGGGATAAGGGCAAGGAAGGTAGTTAATCAACTACCAACTACCTACAGCTGCCCTCTAGCTGCAAATTGCAGTATGTACTTGTGGTTCCCCCCCCCCCACTCCACCCTGAGCCAGCCAGACACTTCAGTTTGAAAGGTATGCTTGAATTTGATGAGGTGAGGCTAGTCAACTCTGCCTCCAGATCTACTAAGGGCTCCCACCTTAAATGTGGCCTTTAGTAAGGCATCGGCTTGGTACTTACCTGAACTGTATCTTGCTCAAAGGTGCTCCTCCAGTCACAGACGTAAACAAGACACACTGACAGCCAGTATCTTTACTGAATGAATTTATTGTTTTTTTGAACTAAAGTTGCTCACAGTTATTTAACAAGGGATACATCAGAAGGTTCTTCTTTGTCCATTTTGACTGTTAAATAATGTCAGTTTGTGTGTCCACATGTGCGTGTGTGTTTGTGTCTTCAAAGTACAAAATAGGAAGGATAACAAGAGGTATTGCTTTCGTTTATTCTTATGTCTTGTGTAAATAATCCCCTTCCTGCTTGTACTGTATGGGTTTTGCTGTATTACTATTATTATTAGTAGTAGTAGCATTTATTATTCTGTATTGAAATCCCAGCCTTTTGTAGAGGTACAATGTAACAGAAGCATCAAAATCTATACACAAGGGGAGATAAAAGAGGGGAAAGGGGGCTGAGGGTGGTGGAAGGGAAGCCTGGGGGGGAGGGAAGCAGAAGGTGGAGGCAGAAAAGACAACAAAAGCAAAAGAGACTAATTTACATCAATATCATGCAATTAAAACTGCCCCCGAACCTCCCCTCCCTCCGTCTCCAACCATCACCCTTCCTGTGTCCGACATGCACACAGCAATACAAGATAAAATTTCCAGATTAGAAAACAAAGCAAAACAAAGGAACACCTTCCCACTTTTGTGTGTCTCTTTAAAAAAAAAAAAGGATTTCCCCCTTCAAACCTATGTACAAGAAAAATGGGTCCAAGAAAGGGGGGTGGGGGTGGGGAGAATCCATAAACAACAAAGACAAATGAAATTAAAAAAACAAAAAAACAAAGGGAAGGGAAATAAGAGGGAGAAATCTAACATTATCTTTAAAAAACCTTGCAATACAACATACACTCATAAAAACTCAACAAACAACAATTGAAGGTAATAAGAGAATTGAACACTAATATTAAAATCTACATTTAAAAGATATTGGTCAAGGAGATTTACTCCTGCTGTTTTTTTTCTTCTTCTTTTTTGTCTTTGACACATATGATCATGGTTTTGGAAACCTTTGCATGTGGGCCAGATTGAGTTACACTTGGTGATAGTTGGAGAGAGAAAAAAGACAGAAGCTAAACAAAAAATGGAATATTGGTGAGAGGATGAAGTTAAGTGGTCTTGTCATCATTCTTTTCCCCTCTCCCCAAAAATAAATAGGAATCAGTGTTACCTCTACACAGTAATGAAAGCAGAAGATTTATCTAACAGCTTAAATTTTTTAAATAT